TACGAGCGATGAGGGAGCATTTGGTGAGCAATAAGAGAGTAAATTCGAAAAGCTCACGGTGTGCTCACTTTTTACTCCCCAAACGCTCGGAGTTTTCTAAGAGTGTATACGAATAAGGATTTTATCTGTGAGAGTAGTTGCACACATCGCGATATGTAGACCATTTCCAAGGAACTCATTTTATAAGTCGTCCAGGGTTCTAAGCTCCCGACTGTGTTTTATTCTCAGGATACGCTGTGCATTGCAAATTCAAAATCACAGGCGATTGGGCTCTCTGTGCTTATGTGATTATTATTCTCTGTGTTTTGGTGGGGCTCCTGCATAGAGATATGCAGAGCGATTTTGCGAGTCCGTCGCATAAGAATTTCAGCATCAGCAGAGTATACGAAGAGTAACGATGCGCGTCACAAGTTTTTCCAGCAATATCCCAAGGGCATTTCATGCTGGAATAAGGTACAGAGAATTTTCTCGCCTCGTTGGGGTGACATCATTTCGGAAAAATCTCGCCGACCTTAACGTGATAACATTCAATATGGAGAAAAACTCACCGCCCATGAAAATTTCACAGTAGACTAGATGGAATAATTGAATTCCTTCGAAACGATAACAAGATTTATCATCTTTCCAGGGAAGAGAATGAGAGGAAACGAAGATGAGATGGCTTCGACCATACACAGGATGGTGGCTGAGGAGGCCAAATACTTCCTTCCTCCTCGTCCTCGTCCTCATTCCGGTTCTTTTCGTCTCCGTCACCTTATTGGCTGGGGATGTTGACGCCGGGATGCAAGGTGCCTTGCCTGGCGTAAATTTCACTTCGCAAAGTCATCGACCTGTGATAAACGTAAAGGTGATCGCTTTTTTGGAATTGAGATACTTGGAGCTTCCGTCTGTCGCGCGTGGATTACATATGACGTAAACGTATTGCTCAGTATATGAGGTAGTTGGAGATGGTCTATGCAAATGCTACCTTCGAGTCCTACGCTCGTTCTCCCTTGGATTACTGTAAAGTAAGACTTACTGTAGCAATAGTCTGTGCTTTTCAGCATCGATCATTTCGAGCAAACCGTTCACATTCATCTCATTCTTGCGGAGGGTCGTACCGATCATGACACGGGTCGCAGCTGATTGATTTTGTAGTCAGTTAGAACGCAATTGTTCGGATTCTCCTGACAGTGAAGGGTCATTTACTTAAAATGATTTAACGGCTCTACCTCCGACTTTTCAAAGTTATTGCATAATATTGAAATAAAACCTTAAAAAATTGCACTTGAAGCATTCTTTAGTTTCTGTGCTCTCTTTTACGATTTCAAAATGTACGTGATAGGCTATGGGAAACATCTGAAAGGGTTGTGGGCGATGGGCAGAGACCTGTCGCAATTCTTCACGCTATATAGTGCGATGCTCAGTGCTGGTAACTTTTTTTTTAAAAGTTATCTGTGATTGATTACTGACATTTCTGGAATCATATTTTAATCTTGAAAACATAATATGCAATAAGATTTGTTTGGTCACATTTTGGCCACGTACCGCAAGGCAAAGGTTTGCAAATAGGACTTGCTGCAATGAAGAACTGCCAAAATCGGTCCACTTGGAGGATAGAGGATAATTGAGAGAATTGATATAAATTCTTATTTCGGTTTCCTTATTTCTAAGTTAAGTGGAGTTGTGTCGGATGGGATCTGCTGCCTCTTCCCAGGCGATTCCTTACCTACTTTATACCTCATTTAATTTGCTTATCATATCATTTGCTTTTACAGGAAAATGAGGAGGTCGCTGCGAGCAGAACCTCCGGAGTTGATCGACGGATGCCGAAACCCTTTCCTCAGGTTTGTCGTGCATGCAACCTCATCTGCCAGACTCGCGAGGGTTTTTTTTAATTATTAAAGTGTGTTCACTCACTTATTTCAGTTCAAATAAACATAGAAGCAAAAAATCTTAATTTGGAAACCTCTGAGAGCACTTAAACCCCCGTATCTGCACCTCTCAGCACTACTTCTCGCGGCCCGCGACCTGATTGTACTATGAACGATCCGGCCGACCATTACCAAAAGGTTGCCAACCACTACCAAAAGGTTGCCAACCACTACCAAAAGGTTGCCGACCACTAGCCTAGCCCATGGCCCAGAGAGGCATGACCTCGTGGGCCTAGCACGTTGGCCGTCGCGCGAAGCCCGCGAGGCTGTACCTTCCTGGGTCATAGGCTAGGCCAAAGATCCCAATGATTCCTGACTTATGTTACACCAAGAACTGACACTCTTTATCCCAATGTAACAAAATTTGATTTGAGTCGCCCATATCATCTTAAATCTTGCAGCTGATTGTAACCTCAGGGTAACTGATAACGTTGCTCTCAAGCTCATGTTTGACAAAAAAATGAAAAAATCAAATAAAAATGCGTTTCCCTGTGTACGACAAAAAGTTAGGAAAGCTACATATTTCCTCTTCCAGAAATTAATTCCAGATTAAATGAGCCGAGCAGGTTGCCATTTTTCATGGACAATATTGGTAATTGGTAATTGGTAATAATTGGTGAGATCGCGGGAAAAGTGCACCTGGCCGTCCGTGAGCATGTCGCACGCTCCGAATTTGATTTATTTGAGACGTCATCCCGTTCAGGATTTTACGGAGGAATTGACCAACAGAGTGCTTCACATGAGAGAGAAATGCTCACAGTTTGGCATGGACCGAAATGGGACGAGCAAGTACCGGCAGCCCAACTACGGGGAGTACTACATCAACCACAAGTATCACCTCGCTTGGTGCCCCATTTTTAAGGTGTGCTTGGTACTTACACGCTCAATTGTCAATTATCGTAGCCGTATCCCACGAACAAGTGCCTGTTTTACCTGATCCGTTTTTCCAGAAGAGTGAAACCTGAAAGGTTATTTTACCATGAATAGAAACCGGCGCGTTTGTTTTTAATGAACTTCGACTTATTTCCTGGTTGAAATCGCGTATTGCCAAAGCTTTCTTTCGCGACGGATAATAAGTTAAAAGACACCCCCTAGCAAGGGGTGCAGCTGGTCGTTGCGTTCCCCATCTAGACCCAATGCGATATGACAGTTCTGTCCAATCGCAGGTTTTTTTTTTCATTGGATTCTTCCCATTCTTGGTTCACCGAATCTCCAGAGATCGCCGGTCAAATCACTGACTATAATGATGAATGAGATTTCTTTTGTATTTGCAGGCCGGCGCATCTTCCATGATGCACAATTTCTTGCTGTTGTCTGGCGCAGTGACCGAAAGAGACATCAAAAAGATACTGAAGAAACAGAAGACGATGATCCCCATGGCGAGGAAGCTTTATCCCAGACCGTCCGTGAAGGATCTCGCGGCTGCCACCGAGAAGGATGGAGGTTCCATCGTCTTCCTCATCGTCCGGGATCCCTTTCAGAGGCTATACTCCGCCTATCAGGANGAGGATGTGGCGGAGGTCTTCTCGAGTCTCCCCGGAGACGTCCTTCAAGGCCTCATCGAAATCTACAGGAAGGATTTCGAGTTATTCGGGTATTCGATTGACAAGTACCGGCAGAAGACAGATCCCTCCTCATTGATCTCCCAAGTGCAGAATTAATTATGCAGTAGTGTGAAATAAACTATTATCACTAGGTTCCATTGTCTAGGACGTGATTGCTCGCACTTATTATTCATCACTCATGAATTTGAGATGGAACAATTCCAAGCTCACCGATGACCTTGGAGTTACTCATTTAGAATTAACACGTTGACGACCAGCCTATTTTTGCTTGTCCGCCGCGTGGGACCACGCGCATTTTTTTTGTCAAAAAATGCGTCCTGCCATCAGGACGCATGGTCCCAGAAAACATTTTTTTTGCCGAGTTTTTTTTAAATGTTGAATTTTTTGGAATTTTTATCAGTAATTACGAAATCATAATCTTCTGGAACGTTCTCAACAGTTCCAGAGGGTATTCATTGAAAAAAAATCTGCATCCAGGCATCAGGACGCATTGTCGCCAACGTGTTAATACTCGACGAGGACATTCTTCCGCCTTATCTCGTCTGCTATCCAGAAAAATACTTTTTTCCACTTGGGGAAGAGAATATCTATGACATGTCTGACAATTCAAGTGGAAAGGTCCTTCAAAAAAAAAATTACAAGGGAAATTCCAAGTTAACACAGAAAAAAAAAACTATCTGGATTGACTTTCATTGATTCATCAGCTATTCATTTGGAATAATCTCATGAAACACATGTGTGACCGACAACGTGAGATGAATGAATTAGCGATAATTGCTATTAATATTGCTTTGACACAACACATTTTAGTGAAATATGACGGAGACACTTAGGTTAAAAGACGTTGGTCATTTTTTCCCCCATACCCAGTGGATCTGTACATAACAATCGATCGCGTTCTGCATATGTAAACAAACAAGGAGAGAAATCCCATTAGAGTCTACTATCTGCTACCCGCGAAGCACTCACGTCTTACTTGAAGTTGATCGACTTCTGTTCCGTAGCATTAAAATGAAACACAGCTGGAATTTTGAAGGGCCATATTTCGGATCAATAACGTTGAGTGCATCCCCCCCCCTCCCCCCCCGGCCCTCCCACGAATTCTTCAATTTCCCTGGATGAAGTGTGATTTCGAGCCAGGCACGGGATCGGCGCTATTGGACCGACCCGGATCGGGCGGGTCGCTCGACGATCGAGTTTCCTGTTGGGTGCGGACGAATGCGCTGTCAGAGGGATTTTCTCAGGCCGACTAGCAAAAAAGACACCTTTCGTCAGCGCTCAACGCGATCGCGTCATTCAATGACGTCGCTCTCGGGCAAGCAGCTGTCAGCGGAACGGAGTGAGAGCATCGAACAACCTGACACTAATGTGACGTCATGGGATGGCTGAAAGCGTCAGCAGACACGCGAAGGAAGACGTATAGAGGCCTAATCGGGCCGGCTTGATAGGCCCGACGCGACCCGCGGGGTCCGATAGGGCCACGATTCGGATCGGGCCGGGGTCGAAAACGCGATCCGTGCAGGGCTCCGGATGCGCCAAATTATGAGCTTTTCCAATATCAAAATGAGAGTTGTTGCTCTCTGTTTTCCGGGTATTTTTTTAAAATTTTGTTTATTAATAATTTCATGCGTGTCTTTCATAGAAAGTTATATAGAGATCCCAAAAACGATGTTTCAACGTCTTGATTTGCTTTAAAGGAAAAAGAAAGGCAAGGAGGTCCAATGGACGTCCGTTTATTTTACTCCATTTTGTCACAAAAATACTTTGCCCAGGTCAGAGTTAAAAGTTTCGAGGACGAGAGCCCTCTACATTTCAGGGCGCTTTAAAATTATACGGCAAAGTAGAAAGTTATGAAAGCAAAAGTCACGACCGTCAGAAATAATAGATAAACTAGAAAATGAAGGAATGCATGAAACGCAATGTAGAGCTTTGGCATAATGGTAAGGAATGGTTAAAAAAAAAATTAAACGGGTCGGTACGCGCTATGCAGTAAATTGCAGGATAAGTTTGAGGATAAGATTGCAGGAGGAGGTTCACGTGTTGCATTTATTGCTACACAGTTGCTACACATCTTTCGCCATGCTACATCCCCGTCCATCAGAGTGTGGAGGTCAGGCGCAGGGCATTCAGCATTTATGTCGGCTTGGAGCTTTTAAGCGAACTGGATCTGTGGAATCACGAGGATTCGTGTTTATCGGGACCTTTTTGATATGAAAGATTACGAGCTCGTATTTACACTCGACCGCGAGGCAATCATGCACCTAAACCATGGGAAAGTACTATAAGTACTTTTTGGGGATGATGAAATTCTCTGGGCGAAGTGTGTGGAATACGATCGTTATCCTGGTGTGGAAATCGGAGTTCTGAAGAGTGTGTCCTTCTTTCCTCAATCCTGAAATGTTCATCCTCAATCCTGAAATGCTCAAAATCAATAATGAAATGTTCATTCTTAATCCTGAAATGCTCATCCTTTGTCCTGAAATGCTTATCCTCAATCCTGAAATGCTTATCCTCAATCCTGAAATGCTCATCCTCAATCCTGAAATGCTCATCCTTTATCCTGAAATGCTCATTCTCAATCCTGAAATGCTCATCATCAATCCTGAAATGCTCATCCTTTATCCTGAAATGCTCATTCTCAATCCTGAAATGCTCATCCTCAATCCTGAAATGCTCATCCTTTATCCTGAAGTGACACATTCCATCATTGGATTTCTCTTTACTGTCCCCGCTGAGTAGCGTCACGAGTCTCACGCGTCACAGACATTCCTCGCCATGTGAACACACCCTAAGAGGAAACCTACGACGATAAGGCCAAGTGGATGAGACACCTTCCTTTATCTTGGAACAGTATTATCAGGCTCGTCCAGATAATCGAGCCTCTCGAAAGCCTCCCAACCTTCGGTGCGGCTTCACCTCGACTCCTCTGAAGGGCGGTGAAGGCGGGATCCCCAGCTTCATTCTGCGCTTCGCGGGACAGGGATGGACTCGCTTCCGCGTTCTGTCTACTTGCCTTCGGTATGTTGTCGGCGGGGCGGGATTATTATTCCGCCTCTTTTGCAACGACTCGCTATCCTTACCCGCTAAAATTTGTCTCCTGTCTGATACATCTTATTAATGATAACCAGAATGAGAATCAGAGATTTTTAAATTGAATTTTTTAAGTCAGGCTTGCGGCCTGGTCACTGACCCTTCCCTTTGGAGGCATGACGAGGGCCATTGTCATACATGAAGATGGCCTCTGACCTTTTTAGTGGGCTTCCGTTCCTGAGAGGCCACTTATGCTCCCGTCCTGTCCGTCCGTGTCTCACACTTTGGTTGTTCGACGAAAGCTAAGAAAATATTAGCCTGATCAATGTGAAAATTGGGAAGCGGGTAGATAGGAACAAGATACAGGTTGAGTTCG